TTATGTCTGGCTGGTACCACGTAATGGTCTAATCTACCTAAACCCCCGTTTATATTAGTATGTCCCAAATAGTGAAATTTCGACCTTTTTTTCGAGTTTCGATTTCGACTTTCGACTTTTGTTTCTTCAAACTGTTTTGTAAGTCGAAACTCGAAACTCGAAATCGAAACTTCGATTTTTTAAGCTTCAGATGAAAATTTTGAAACTCGAAATTTCGCGTTTCGACTTTCTTTTTCGATAAGCTCACTAGTGATCAACTAATCCCACTAGTGATTTAGTCTATCGTTCAAATCGAATCGCTAGCTAGACTGTTAGACTACAGTCGTCCATGTATACGGTGGCAGCAAGCAACAAGACAACACTCGCTACCGGTACTAGCTAGCTAGTACAAACCTCTTGCAAATGCTATCTCTTGCAGATGCTACCTCTTGTTGTCGTTGCTGCTGCCGACGATTGACCGGTCACTGTTGTTGTTGAAGCCGTCGTCGATGCTCGCCATTGTGGAGTGTTTCGGCCATTACGGAGTGTAGATAGTGACAACAAATAGCCATTGGAATTGTCTCAGAATGTGGAAAAATGGTGTTGCAGTTGTGGATACGGCCTTTGTTAATTCAATCCCACGAACCAATCCACATGAACTGGTCGACGACAATTCGCATGATTCATCAGTTAAGAGGGATGGCGATCAACTGATCCAAGCCACTCCTAATGTTTAATATTTCCTGGATCGATACTTTGATATTACCTCCTCTCTACAAGTACATCCTCCGCTACTCCTTCAAAGAAGAAGACTCCACCATGACAGGCTCATTGTTTGGATAGGCTGAGAGCAGCGGCAGAGTTTGGATGGCGACCGCTTCATGTTGATCATCGTCGTGTTATCATACCGTAGCCAATCAAGCAGATCGGTAGTATGCTTAAATGTACAAAGTTACCAAATACACCCAAGCCTCCAATTCCTATCGTCTTAGCTCTTGTCTCCTTATCGTCGAGACGTTGTGGAAGCAACTCTTCTTTTGTTGCTTTTGGTTGGTGGTTGTTGTGCTGAGTGAGTCATTCAGCCTTGGTGGCAGGCCAAAGTCGAAACATGAAACTCGAAACATGAAAAAAGTCTTATTTGGGATACAAATCTAAAAAACCAAAAATAAAGTATTTTCGACCATGAAAGAAGTAGAAATGCGAAATCGAAACTCGAAACTCGAAACTTCGCTATCTGGGACACTGTATTGAGGAGTGGAGTTTGGTTACATCTGGCCGGTACCACGTAATGGTCTAATCTACCTAAACCCCCGTTTATATTGAGGAGTGGAGTTTGGTCACATCTGGCTGGTACCATGTAATGGTCTAATCTACCTAAACCCCCGTTTATATTGAGGAGTGGAGTTTGGTCACATCTGGTCGGTACCGCGTAATGGTCCAATCTACCTAAACCCCTGTTTATATTGAGGAGTGGAGTTTGGTTACATCTGGCCTGTACCGCGTAATGGTTTAATGTACCTAACCCCACGTGTTTAACCATACCGTACCGGTACGGTGTGTAAGGTAAACTTGCTAACTCTAACCCTACCAAAAGGACCAAAAAAAGGGACCACCACAACAAAATTCTAAACCAGCCAACTCTGTGGTTGGCGATACTTTTGGAGCTGACGTGCTGACGTGACTATGTTTCTCGTGTTGCCATTGCCCGCACGGGGCCACCAAGGGGTTCCACAGGCACATGGCCATGGCAACTCCCACCACCTGGCTGACCACTTCACCTCAGTTTTGCTTGTCGAAGAAGATACGTGTGTAGGCAAAGTCAACCTTAGCTGTGGGCCTTGCTTGGCTGCTCCTTCTCACAACATCATGAGGCTTCATTTTGGATATTCCGTTCACAGTTCGAGCTGCTCTTTCATTTTAGATCGAACGATCGCTGACTGGAAGATACCGGTACGACGAGCAACTCGCGGCTATGTTATGCTATGCTATGCTGGAATTGACTGCTAGAGCCATTCCTGATACTAACTATCAAAGAAGGGTACCACCACAAGAGGAGGCAACCATTGGATCCTCCAATCCACACACACCTGCATGGAAGATTACCCCTGTTAGTCTATTGCCAGATACATCAGGCCTTGTAGGAATTCGGCCTGGAATAGCATGGGTGGAAAACTAAAAAGGTGTGTGGTGGTTGGATCTTGCATTGAATTAGCTGTCAAAAAGAGGGAGTAAAAATAGCTGGCTGTCTAAATACGGTGTCCAGCTTAAAGAGGGAGCCAACAGAGACGCTCTTTCGTTGGTTGCAGACACTATCTCATCGAAGAACGGCGACACTAGCAGCCAGCCGGAGCTCAGGACCAGCGGCCTACTCTTCTTTCATTGCTGCTATCACTCCACCATGACACTCTGCTCTTCTTCTTTTTTAAGCGGCGGCAGTGACGGATCGACACATTTCTTTCGTTCTTTCGATGGTTCATTATCTTTGCTCTTCCCGGGAGCGACCATGAGAGAGGCGACCGATTGACTGCTTCCTCTTCACACCGATTCGACCCGAAGATAATAGAAAGGCAGTGTAGCCATGTCCGATAGAACACTAAGTCTTCTTCTTCCTGCTTCCTAGGAGCCACCATGACACACCCTACCACGACATGTAATGCAACAAGCGGCTACCGGCCGCGGTGGCTCTACTATTACACTCCATGGCAATTGCACCGTCAGGAAGGCGCCAGGTTTTTGCCCTAACCCTAGCTAGTAACCCTACTTCAACTTGTGTTGAAAAGGTGTGAACTTGAACGCACAATTTCTCTAATTTAATCAATATCCTTCCAGCTCTACTGTCTAGTAGACTGGCTATTCGTTTCGTTTTCTCTTTCTCTCTCGTTCAGATTGTGAGCTCTACAACTGAGCTCCGATATGCATACATATACCAGGATCTTTCGATCCTCTGCTTCTCGCAGTTTCATCTACAGATAGATCTCGTCGATCTATCTTCCTGAAGTGCATGGTTGGCCCTGGAGGGCTTTCCCACTTTACTAAACCTATGGACCTTCATCCGTCCATTCGTTTGCTCCATCCCGTCGCTCCTTGCATTCATCTCTTCGACCTAACTTCCTAACCTTTGTAGTTGTATCATCTAGACGACCATTGTCCTCGTTCCTCGTACACCTGGCCATCTGATGATGATCGGATAACCATCTGATTTGAGTCACACATCCCCAATCACGAACCGTGATTGTGGATCCCGAGTCGTCTGTCCGTCATACGAAAATACCTTTCTGACAAACTTGGATGCTTGCAATTCGTGCTGCATCGCCGAAAGTCGTTCTCATTCGCCCTGCGCGAGTTTACCGCGATTCGCGCACCGCGAATAGAACGAATAGCGCGAATGCAGCGCGAATTGTTTCATTCTTCTTCTTCGGCAATGACAACATCACATCGAGGACAACAGTGAGGTCGACATCAACAGCATGCCACCTCCACAACAGCAGCAGCTGGATCCTTTCCTTATACCTCCTACATTCATCCTCCAAGAGGGTTTGAAGGCTTGTAATGTGGATGAAAAGGCCCAGGCTAGGCGTCTTCGAAGCACAAATGTGAGGCAATTTAAAGCTCACTTTGGCAAGCACCCACTGCATCTTGCTCGAGTCTATCGGGATCTACAAATGTATGGCATCATGACACGAGATGAAGCAGAGAAGAGACAGTCTTTTACAGGATTCATGTTAGCAAACTGCTTCCTCCGTCTCTATGAGTCCGCGGATGTTCGCAATGCTCGATTCAGCATCTGTCATGACAACATTTGTGAATACACATGGCGATTTATCCGAATGATTGGAATGCTCAAGCAACACAAAATCAAGATGCCAGAGGTTTGGCCTGTGAGAATGGGAGCTAGTGTTGATGGAACTCAAGTAAGAACAAATGAGCCAAGGGATCCGGACATGAGACGCAATCCAAAAAATTATGCATACAAATACAATTTTGCAAGGTTGAACTATCAGATTGTGCTCTCTCTTTGGACAAATAATGTGTGGTATGCAAATCTTGGAGATACTGGCAGTACTCATGACATGACAGCAATTTGCAAAGAGTTCCTTGATATGGTACCAGCAGGTTGTCGAGTGATTGCTGACTTTGGCTACACGGGCAAAACAGAAGCCGAAAAGAAAGTGTTTGCTGTTAGCTCTCCAGTCGACTCGGAAGAAGTGAAGGCTCTCAAAGGAGCGGCCAAAGCAAGGCCAGAGTTTTTCAATAAGAAGATGAAAGACTTTGACTGCTTAACCAAGCGATGGATCCATGGAGTTGACAACCACAAGTTGGCTTTCAATGCCTGCTTGGTGCTTACACAATATGCAATTGAAGACACCTCGAACCATGGAGAGCCTCTGCATACGCTCTAATAATTCTCTAATAATTAAATAGATTACAACGATAGAAGCATTGTTTGTGGCAAGTGACACTGTCTAATTATCCTTAGATTGCTGCTATTGCCATCATTGGTTGCATATTATTATATTGCCTCGTTAATGAGTTCAGAGCTCGTCGTCACCGCCATCCATGTTCACTCCTCCATTGCCATTTTCAATATTTTCAAGCTCCGAGAGGCCACGCTTGTTGCTTTCTTTGTCGACATCCATATCACTTGTCGGCTCTCCTTTGCGTTCGAGAAGCTTATCTAGCTCTTCTTTGTTGTCTGCAACAAAAGCTTCCAAGTCAGCTAGCATATCCTCGATGCCATCCATGTCGGATCCTGTGTGTTGTGCTTGAATAAACTCTCCTTCAAGGTATTCACGGGCTGTGTTTAATCGAGCCAGATGACGAGCCATTTCTCTGTCAGCAAGGAGCTTGTCCATGTTGAGGTTTAGATTGGGAGCCGACGGTTTTGTTTTTGGTTGTTTCAAAGTAAGACCTAGTAGCAAATATTGATTCGAAGCAAACGCGGGAGAGAAGAGAGGAAAAGGAACAACAATTCTTAGTTTGCTTACACCAGCACTGCACCATCCTACTATTGCACTCCGAAACTAAGTCGTACTATTGAGATTCAAGAGCTCATTCAAAAGATCCTCGTCTCCGGCAGTCTGATCCTCTTCCTCGACAGCACCAAGAGTTCCAACAATGTAGGCCCTCCAAACAGCCAGCATGCGAGTAACCGATTCACCATTCTTGCCTTTGGTCTTGTAAGGTAGAGGAATGAGCTTGAGTTTTCCTTTGGGGCATCCAGGCGAGAAGTATTCGTTAGAGACAGCAATGCCAATGTCAGTCAGACTAATGTAGGTTGTCTTGTTGCGGTTCTTCTTCTTAAGTTTTGTCACCATTGATTTCAAAGTAGTGTGAAGCTTTGCTGCTTCAAATCGGCCCTCGACTTTCTTGAGACAGGTAAGCCATCCATCCTTGCCGGAGGCAGCTTCTAAGAATCCTTGCATTTTGGATGGACCAATGATCGAGATGGAATCCTTGGTGTAAGTTGCCGACAAGCTCTTGATGTCTTCAGGAGCTACGTTTGGACGGACAACAACAATAGCACTTGCTTGCATCTTGCCAACACGTTCCTCTGTCGACATTGTGACAAGATAGTCGCCATGAGCTTCTTCATTTTCAAGATCGATGTCGAAATAGACTTCAAGATCTTTGTCCTGCTCATCCCTGTTTGCGGAGGAAAGGATAAGCTTGATGGGGCTACCAATGTTTGCTGACATGGTTGCGTCTGGTTGCTTGTTGGTTGCTTTCTTCTTGATGCTTGGAGATGATTTGACTTTCACCGGCTTCGTTGTTGCTTTTGATTTCTTCACGACTGGCACGACGGCAGTAGATGTCGTCTCCTCCGGCACCTGATCAGCTGTAGCTTCGTCCAAGTCTTCCTGCTTTGGTTGGGGGCACTGCAAAGAAAGTAGTTTGAAAGAAGCCAATAGGTTAGCCCGTGTTGTGCCAAAGTCTTGATCCCTCTTCCATCGGTCAACAAGATAGCTAGTGCGAGCTCTACGAACGGAGCCGGTGATACCCAACGTTGCTGGAAACTCTGAACAAAGATTATTGAGTAGCTTGTTTTGTCGGTTGCAAGCTCTTGGCCCTCCCCTTTCATCCAACTGCTGGAGCAAGAAGGCTTTGGTCTCCATTTCCAAGCCCTCCGTTGGCAAATCCATATCACACGAGTATTCAGCATCCTCCCCAATCCGATGGGCTGACTTCTTCTTCCTTGTATCATCTTTCATACTAACAATAGACTTACCGAGAAGGGGTCGTCGCAGAATCGTCCAAACTCGGCGTCACAGTCAAGGCAATCGTCCTCGGGGATAGTCTTGCTTCTAAGCTTTCGAGCTGTGGGCATTGTGAGGACCTCAGATTATTAAGTGAAAATAATGAGATGGAGGGAAAATCCTCGGTTCAAATCGTTCTCATGAAAACCAAAAGCCGGCATGCATAGTATATTGTAGTTTCAGCTCTAATCGTTTGGATGTACTACATGCCAACGAAGTTAACAGCCAGCAAGTAAGGCATCCCAGCAATCTAGCTCGCACTGACTGACAACAGGTTGATTGTTACTTTTCGAATTTCGGCCATGGCCAAGACCAAGACCAAAGTGCGGCCGCCGGTGGCTTTGAATGGAGCGGATTGGGGAACAAGTGAGGCCAAACAGCTCATAGCTCAAGATATGATGGATGGTTTGCTGTCGGCCACCGAGAAAATTAAAGACGTCCAACATTGTTTTGACACATTGTATGCACATCAGCCAGAATTTGCCAACTTTCCCTTTGATTTGGAGCGCTACAGAACCCGGTTTGGTCGAATCCAAACTGTTGTTAGGCGTCTCCAATGGGCCAAGGACTATGATGCAGAGTGCGCTGAAGAGGCCAGAGCGAAGTATGGATTTCCGACCCATGATCCAACTGGCAAACCGGTCTGGAGAGGTTCAAAAGCTACGGAGCTTCTTGATGAAGATATGTGCAATCTACTTCATCTGGAGATGGAACCAGGAAAGCTCTTCGAAACAAGGCCCGAGTATGAGCCATTTGGCAAGGCTCGATTTGCGAAAAGAATTGACCAGTTGAAAGAAAAAGCAAAACCCTATGGCGAAAATCCCATGCAAACAGCTGCCAAAAGAGCCAAGAAAGAGAGGAAGGAAGCCATGACTGTGAAGCCCCGCCCAGACATGAGTCGTAAGGGGACTATTGCACCGTACAACAATGGTAGTTAAAAGTATAGTAGACACAAATAGCGGACACAAACATCGGCAGCTTCGTCATGGTCGACTTTTCTTTTTTGTTACCGCAAATAGCGCGAATAGCGCGAATAGCGCGAATCCAGCGCGAATCGCGCTGCTACACGTGGAACCCGCGCGCGAATGGTCCGCGAATAGCGCGAATGGCACGCGACTAGCGCGACTGGCGCGAATAGTGCCGGTACTTTGGCGAAGGGGCAAGTGCCAACCCTATCTCTAAAACCTGGTGCCTTCCAGAGCGGGTACAGCTGTACTAGCTGGCTACATGTAGCTAGTACGGTACTACTATTAAACTATAATAGTAGTAGCAACATGATCTGTCTCTGCCTCATCGAAGCGTTAAGTCACGGGTTTCCTTCTTTAAGTCTTTTTATGTGTATCTACAACCGTTGGTGTCCACCGTGTCGTTGCATCATCTAATTGACTGGCTCCAGACGAGATACCAACACTACAAGAAGAAATACAACGATACTCCCAGCGGCAAGAGGACAAAACAAACGAACCAGATAGAGATGCCAAGCAACG